TTGTCGTTTTTTTTTAATAAATAAGAAGGTCTGTATATAAATAAGAAGGTAATAGTCGAGGGATACTCATCCCAATTTACCTGTCCGGTAGTTGTGGTATGGTATACGGGTATGCGACCCCGGCTTCCCTAGCTATTACTGTCCTATTCCGTGCCCTCCTGGACGGTAATATCCTACATTTCCTATTTCCTACCCTAACTTACTTTACTCTTCCTTTTCACACCACCTATCCTTCCCCTTTTCCTATTCCTACCCTCCGCCAATCCAACGTCTGCCGCGCGGATGGATGCATGGCTAGGGGCGAGCCTAGTCGTTAGCGTGCCACACTGCCCTGGGACCGGGCAACCCCAGAATTAGGCTAGCCTTACCCTGGCATGCGGGGCTCTGCTGGGGGGGACAAACCTTTCCCTCGCTATTCGTGGGAACGCAATGGATAGTCATAAAAATAATTTAATTAACCAAAATGGCGGCGATGTGGTTCGCCACCCATCACGTCTCGTTTCTCGCGGGGGCGAAAAGCGGCCCACGGAGAGCCGCTTCGCTACGTTGAATGTAAGAGGAGGAATGGATGGTAAGGTAGATGAAGTATGTCAGATGATGGATGAACGTTGCATTGATATTCTGTGCGTGAACGAAACCAAGAGGAAAGGATGTGACACCACGGTTCATGGCCCCTACACGGCATACTGGTCGGGAGTCCCCCAAACCAGCCGAGGCTGTCAGGGAGTTGGTGTGATTCTTTCATCTCGAATGGTTGAATGTGTGATGGAGCATGAATGTATAAGCCCAAGACTCCTCTGGATTAGGTTAAAAGTCGGACTCACTCGCTTGTTTATCCTTGGGGTCTATGCACCAACGGATCTGCGTGGAGGTGGGTCCATAAAAACACAACAAGAGAGAGAGGAATTTTGGGATAGCATGAGAGAAGTCTTGAATAAATGCGGAGAAAATGAACGGATCGTGATGTTAGGGGACTTTAATGGATGGGTTGGAGTAAAGCGTGATGGGTATGAAGGAGTTCTGGGTACGTTTGGGGACGAGAGAGTGAATGACAATGGGAGAAGCCTGCTTGAAGTATGCTTGGAATGGAATCTGTGCGTGGCCAACACAATGTTTGACCACAAAAAGATCCATTTGTATACAAGAGATGAGGGTGAGTCTAGAAGTATGATTGATTTTGTAATTGTGGATGAAAGACTGAGGAAGAAAGTGCTAGACACTCGGGCATACCGCGGTGTAGGCCTCGACACAGACCACTTCCTGGTCATAGCCCGAATGCGTGGCCTCTTTAAACGGTGGCGACACCGAGTGGCCGAGCCTACGAGTGTTTTGGACAGAGTAAAAGTAGAAAATCTACAAGAAGAAGAAAAGAAAGAGGAGTATGTAGAGAAACTGAAAGAAAGTTTTAAAGGGATAGAAGAGATAGGAGTGATTGAAGATTTGTGGGAGACATTTAAGAAAGGGGTCGTAAATGTTGCTATCGAGGTATGCGGGGTAGCTAAAAGAAGGAAAGGAAGAAAGAATGATAACGTGTGGATGGATAAAGATGTACAAAAGGTTGTGCAAGAAAAGAAGAAAGCGTGGTTGGATTGGTTAGCAACAAAAGCTAACCAAAAAGTTCAAAAGGCAACGGATGACGAGATAAAGGAAGCAAGAACGAAGTATAAAAGATTGAAAACAACAGCGAAAGAAATTGTGTCTAGAAAGAAAGAAGAACGAAAGGATGATTTCGATAGGAGGCTCACTGAAGATTTCCAGTCAAACATTAAGTTTTTCTGGAAAACCATCAAAACAGCCAGAGGAAAAACTTCTACCTCTGAGCTGAGTACAATCAGGAGTCAAGATGGGAGCATTATAAAAGGAGAAGAATGTGTGTTAAAGAGATGGAAAGAGTATTTTGAAAGTTTGTTTGAAAGAGAGGAAGTGCAGGTACAGCATCTGCCACCTTCCACGGAAACTAATATAAGTGTTGATGAAAATGAGATAAGCATGGATGAAATAGTGAAAGCGTTGAAAAGTATGAGATTAGGTAAGGCTGCAGGGTATGACAGGATTACCGTCGAGATGCTGAGGGCTGGACAGGGCCTGGTGGCTAGTCAGCTGTACCGCCTTTTCAATCTATGCTGGCGAAATGGGCAAGTACCGGGAGACTGGTGCAAAGCCGTAATCGTGCCATTGTATAAGGGAAAAGGGTCACGGCAGGACTGCATAAATTACCGCGGTATAAGCCTTCTCGGCGTCGTCGGTAAATTGTATGCGAAAGTGTTGACTGAAAGGATTGTGAATGAAACAGACAAGAAAGTATGGGATGCACAAGCGGGATTTAGAAAGGGAATGGGATGTACGGATCAGGTCTTTTCCTTGCGGTGCATAGCCGAAAAGTATTTGGCTAAAAACAAGAAAGTCTACTGCGCGTTCGTAGATCTAGAAAAGGCCTATGATAGAGTGGTGAGGAATGAATTGTGGTCAGCACTGTCCGTGAACGGTGTGAGCAGTATCCTCATACGAGCAATGCAATCTCTTTATAGGGATTCTAGTGCTTGTGTAAGGATAAACGGGGCATACACTGAATGGTTTAATACGAAAAAGGTGTTAGACAGGGATGTGTAGCGTCACCGTGGCTGTTTAATCTGTTCATGGACAATTGTTTGACAGATTTAAAAGAGAATGAAAGTGGGTTGAGAATGAATGAGTTACTCGTCAAATGTTTTCTCTATGCTGATGACCAAGTATTACTTGCGTCTTCGGCCGAGGAGTTGCAGGAGATGGTAACTGCTATGAGTGGAGCTTTTGTTAGAAAGGGAATGAAGATGAATGTAAGGAAGACGAAAGTGATGGTGTTTGAAAAAGATGAGGCAGTGACAGACTGCAATATCGTGATTGAAGATGACCAAATTGAACAGGTGAAAGAGTTTGTGTATCTGGGTTCAAAGTTTACAAGAGATGGAAAGTGTGAGAGTGATATCGAAAGAAGAGTGAATGCAGGAAACATGGTGAATGGAGCTTTGCACTCCTTTATGAGCAGTCGGAAGGTGTCTAACAAGGCTCGTTTGGCTGTGCATGAGGGGGTGTTGGTTCCGACACTCATGTACGGAAGTGAAACTTGGGTATGGCAGAAGAAACATGAAAGCAGAATAAATGCAGTTGAGATGAGAGCATTAAGAAGTATGATAGGAGTTAAACTGAGTGACAGGCTAAGAAATAGTGAGGTAAGGAAACGTTGTGGTCTGAAAGAAGATGTAGTGACAAAAATTGAGAAAGGTATGCTGAGATGGTTTGGCCATGTCGAGAGAATGAATGAAGAACGATTGACGAAAAAAGTGTATAAGGCGAGTGTGAATGAAAGTGTTGGAAGGGGTAGACCTAGGCGGACATTTCTAGACCAAATCAGGGACGTCTTGAAAAAAGGCCAGGTCAAGAGTACCCTAAACCGTAGAGCATGTATGAAGGGAATAATGAAAGTGGACGAAGCAAAACAAGTATGTAAGGATCGTAGCAAGTGGAAAGAACTGGTCTCTGCCTACCCCTACGGGAAAGAGGCGTGATTATATGTATGTATGTATGTATGTATTGGTGCTAAATCAGTAGTATTGAACGGAAATATATGTGTGATTTAAAAGAAAGTCAGATTTATGAAAATGGTTAGTATTACTAAAAGAAAACCAAAACAGGGATCAAGTATACCACCTCTCCCCTACACACGAACTGTTACGACACAAAGATTCAACAAAACACGCGAAGAATAGTTTGAAATTACAAAAACTGACATCAATGTTTACCTCAGCTTCCAACTCACAAGATACAAAAATTATAGCTAAAGCGGGTGAAGTAAAAATGGCCTGCTTTATTGCTGAGCATAATCTGTCTTTTAACATAGCATCTCATTTGAATAAATTGATTTGCGCTGTATGTCCAGATTCGAAAATTGCGGAACAATTATCAATGAGCCGCACAAAAGCTAGAGCTATTATTGCTAATGTAACTGGGCAGACAGCAGAAGAAAATATAATAGAGATGTTACAGAACAATTACTTTGCATTACTTGTTGACGAAAGCACAGATAAGTCTACGATAAAACATTTAGCACAAATTAGATTTCAGCGTTGAAGGTAGATTTCTGACTTTAATACCAATCGTAGATGGTACAGCAACAGCGTTGTATGGCAAAATAGTAGAATATTTTATTGAAAAAAATATTCCTTACAAATCAAACATGATAGCCTTTGCTTCTGATGGTGCTAACGTTATGTTTGGAGATAAACATTCATTGGTCACTTTGTTTAAAAATGACATACCTCACCTTTTTACTATGAAGTGCATTTGTCATTTTTTTAACCTTTGCGCATCATACGCATGTGAGAAATTGCCAAGGGGCGTAAAAGATTTCTGTAGAGACAAAACAAAACAAAAAACAAACAAAACAAAACTCCCGATATTATCGACTTTTGGAAACATGTACAAGAATTAAGAAATGGAGACGAATCTCAAACATTCCCTACATTGTGTGAATTGGTAAAAAAGCTTTTGTGCCTACCACATAGCAGCGCCGCCGTGGAAAGGTTATTTTCAGCTATAAATATTATGAAAACCAAATTACGGAACAGAATATCGACTACAGCTATTAAAGGAGTATTACACACTAAATCCGAAATAACCGATTGCTGTTCATTTGAAGCCACAGAAAGGCACATGGCGAAATTCAACATACAACAAATATGTATGATTTTAAAAATAAAAATGAGTGTGAAAATATTGAAGATGAGGCAATAGAAAATGAAACTGAAAAATAATTTTACTTTGATTTTTGTTTTTTGTTGTGATTATAAAAATATCAATGTATGTGAGTTCTAGTAACTAAGAAAATTGTTTATTATTTAATTATATGAGCAAAATTATGAAATCTGCCTTATTTTTCTTTACCTACTGCTTTCTACTGTTTTTTTAGGCGAGTTGTTGTTTTTTAGTTTTTCGAGGTTGGCAACACTGGTAGTATGCCCATTGTGGTATGTGGTATGTGGTTTGTTTTGGTTTGTTTTATTAGTTTCCCGTGTACACCCGTGTAGTAAAAATTGTGTTATTTCTTGCGAGTTACAATAATTATTCTTTAAGTTATCAATTTAGATGAACACGATGGCAAAAATTGAGTTGAATGAAAATGACATTGAGAAAAAATTCAATGAGCAATGTCGAACATGTCTTAGCGTTGGCCGTAAGATGTTGCCTCTGGGAGAATTTGAAAACATTTATAGAAACCTTACTTCAGACTATGAATTAATTGTGAGTCTTTATTTAACATTTTTTCTTATTCATACGTCCTTAAACTTTCACGCCTGTACTCAGATTTTACGGATTTCCATGTAGCACGATTCTAATCCTAACACATCCTTAGTTCTTAACATTATTCAACTATGCATGCATATATTTTGCTATAAATTTATTTACCTCCTTTACTGTCCCGTGAGTCATATATGGACATTTCGATTGTTTACATATTGCATCTTCCACGCAAAGAGAAGTTGTTGAGTAATAAATTTAAAAAAATTGATATCTTCCAGGTACCACTGTCATCAGAACTCTTACGTCTGTGTTGGGAATGTCATGCACTGCTTAGTAACATTCAAAAATTTCAGTGTCAAGTTAAAAAAGCAAATGAAATGCTAAGTCTGGGACAGGTTGGCCATACATATTAATAATGTGTGCTACAGTTATTATTTTTTTTTTATTACTAGTAATGCCATTAAACATTATTAATATTCCCTGTAACCACTTTTGGTAAGCTTACAATGCTTGTGTTAGAAGTGGTTCACGACAGTAGTCGAATGGTGGATTCGAACCCACAACCTTTCGAGTTCGAGGTCCGCGCCCTGCCATTAGGCTACTGACGCTTCTAAACATTATAAAACAGTTGTTAATACTAAATATTCTTTTACATTAGTTTAAATGTGTTTGTTTCAGAATTTTTTATTTTCTCTATCTAGACTGTCAACTGTAATACAGAACAAAAATGAACCTAACATAGTATATGTTTATAACCAAGTACCGGAGAAAGAGATATTAAATGCAGGAAAGTGTATTAATCCGTTTTCAAAAGACCTACCAATGGATAATATTGACGAATCAGATTGCTATTTTATGGATTGCAATAATATAGATGAAAAAGAGAAAATTAAAGATAGTAGCTTTAAAAATATAATGAAAGTAGGAATAGGTAAAGAATCTAATGAAGATAGAACAAAAGTGAAGAAAGTCAACAACAAATGGGCACAAAAACGGGCAATACAGAACAAAAAGGCAAAATTTAAAGAAATTAATTGTAAAGAACTTCATATTGACAAAATTTTTTTCAAGCTGCAATTAGATGAAGGAGAACTAAAGAGATATATGCAGAATAAAAGTGACTCTAAGATCAAGCAAGGAATATTAATTAAGCATATAAAGAGTCCTCATGATGTAGTGAGTTGTTCCTTAGTCTTTCATGAGTGGTGATAGCTCAGGGGTGAATGCTTGCATTAACTATAACATTATTACAGCCTATCAGAGTTGCACTGCTGAACATAGGGCCCCACCATAGATTGCCTCATAGGTAGTATATTTGCCATAGTTGCCACGCTTCTCAAACAGGCTGACAACTGCAGTTTAATTTTCATTTTTCATCATTATTACAAAGACTGCTGCCCATCTCCTGATTTGTTTCTTTCTGTCGCATCTTAAGACACCCACTGATATTTGCCATAGTTGTCATGCTTGGCGGTTGTGTCAGTAATACCACAGTTTTTTTAAAAATTATTATTAAGTTTTAATCTGGAAGATGCTGCTGCCCATTTTATGTTTCAGTTTCCTAATAGTGTAGTAGGTAAACTAAAACAGAACTATTTAAGTAGTGGATTTAAAACTAAAACAGAACTATTAAGCTAATGGATTTTTTAATTGTTTACTTAAAGTGTTTGTTATCGCATCCCTTTCTTAATGGTGTGTATGCTGCTTCAATCTGGTACCACAACTGTCATCAGCCCATAAATAATTGGTTTGCTATTTTATTTTTTAATTGATGGTGCCCAAAATGGAAGCTGCTATATTGACCTATCCATAGAACAATATATCATATAATTTTATTTTGAAGCTACTAATATACTTTTCCATTGAAGCTTGAAAAATATTAATGAAATAAGTAAAACTATTTAAAAAAATGGTAACAATAAAGTAAGCAAAAATTGTGAACTACATTCTGCTAAGTTGCTTTACTGTTAAGATTTTGCAGATGTAATTTCGTTATTGGTGGGAACTTTTGAAGTACTCTGATAATATGCTAGTGTTAATATAGCAGTTGAAATCACTTTAAGTTTGTTTTTTAGACAGTGAAATCATACATTTGTGACATCTGTTCCAAGAGCAAATCCGACAAGAACAAACTGTCAAATCACATACAAAATCATTACAATATGTATAAATGCCGAGTTTGCAATTATATTTGTAACACCAAAAAGAATAGGTGGAGGCATGTTGCTTCTGCGCACAAAAGGATATTACAGTGTTTAAAATGTGATTTACTTTTTGGGTAAGTGTTTTTTAAGTACTGGCATAATGTGCCATAAATTATATTAGGTTAGGTTAGAGTATTACAACCTTGATGTCTTGCCAGTTTTTAGAGTCGAGTAATGGAAATAATAAGATTTTTCAGGCTTTCTACACCACTTTTTACTATATATATATAATAAATCTGTAGGAAAATGCTTTGTTCACAATTCACGCAGTAAGTACTGGACATATATATCCATGAAATTTTGTATGTAGAATGTAAATGATCATGTATAAGTTATACTTAGATAACTTGTTATCCACTTACAGAAGAGTAAAAGGAAGGGTTATGTTTTCCTTTTTTTTATTTAGAGGATTTAGCTATACATATAACAAGTCTATAGAAAAGTGTGTGTGTGTGAAAATAAACTCATAGTGCCACCAACCAGAAAGGGCAGAATAATGTTTACCGGGCCAGCTAGTTATGAATATTTTTGAAAACCTCTAACTGCACACAACATATTATTGCCCTAAGTTTTTTTTTTAATACAACTAATGGTGACAAAGTAGTTCACAGTTCACTTGATGGTAATTGGATTTGACCTACATCTATTCACAATTTAGAGTCAAAAGTGTTATAAGTGTTAAAGTTATTCCTCATACCTGAGATGAAATGCCGATGAGTTGCCTAGCTAAACCTTCAAAGAGACCAGTGTTAATTTTTTTTTAAATAAAACTGAAGTGACAAATTAAATTACTGTCTGTCTGATGGTAAGAGGCTACTGCAGGCCATGGACTCCTGCAGCATACTTCAAAAAAAGAAAGCTACAGAAAGAGACTTTAAAGACTTTTTTATAGGAATCAGGGTGACAAACGAGCACACAGTCCACCTGATGGTAAGTGCTTGCTGTAGCCCATATACATCTACATCTATCCTCAATTACAAATCAAAATGTAATGTCGTCACCTGTGAGGACTAAAATGGAATGCCTCGGTTCCAGTAAAATGGGTCTCCGGTTCTCTACACTCACCATACGAAACACAGCAGTGTTAAGCTGCTATTTTTACACTGGTATTCTGTGAGAGCGTGGTCCTTCCGCGGTCGAGCCGACCCATTCGTGCTACAACTATACCACTAATATAGCTGCAGCATGGCTCTACCACGTCCAAGCTGCAGACTAAGATACTAAGATAGAATGCCTCACAACCTGTTATTATAATGGCTCTATACATCTACTTGTTTGGGATAGCGATGCGATTATGAAAGATTCATCATATGAGAAGGGTGTCAATAACTTTTGGCCTGTTTCCATTACTATTTTGAAAGAAAATAATTTTTCAGGAGTCGCAGAGAATTCTTTGAGCATTTTAAGCAGTGGCACGAGAAGTTTATATGTGACCAGTGTGGTATCAGTTTTAAAATGAGATATTGCATCAAGGATCACATTAGGTAAGGAACATAATATACTAGAGGAACGCAGAAAATATAAATTAACTTGATATTTTTAATATGTTAAATTAAATACATAAATAAACATTCACGCCTGTCACCCACAGGGGTAGGCAGAGACTACTGACTTACAATTGGCACGATCCTGACACACCTCTTTCACCTCCTTTACATCCATATATCTACGTTTTTTTTTTATAAAATAAGGGTGTCAAACGAGAACACAGTCCACCCGATGGTAAGTAGATGCTGTGGCTCATAGACATCTTCATTTATGCTCAATTAAGAATCAAAATGCAGATGCGTTGTCACCCCTGAGGGACTGAGATGGAATGCCTCGTATCCAGTAAAAAGGGTCTCCGGTTCTCTATACTCACCATACAAAACACAGCAGCATTAAGCCACTATTTTATGCTCGTCGGTTAAGGGTACTTCTAATCTGGCTCATTTTCAATATACCCCAAATTTGGTCGATAAACCTTCGTCTAAAGTGTCCCTCTCCCAGCTTTGCTGTTCACCTCTGCAACATAAATTTGCTTTGTCACTCTTTCCTCGTTCATTCTTTCTACATGACCAAACCACTGAAGCGTTCCTTTCTTAATCCTGGTCACAACGTCATCTTGCAAACCAGACTTTTCTCTCATCACACAATTTCTCACCCTGTCATTCAGATTCAGCCCTAGCGTACTCCGTAAAGACCGCATTTCTACAGCATTTATTTTACTCTCGTGCTTCTTCTGCCAGACAGAACTTTCACTATCATACATTTATCATACATTTATCATACTTTAAGGTATGTTAAATTAAAAAAATGCAAATTAATTATTTTGAAAAGTAACACTCTCCTTTGTTATTGAGTACGTAATAAATGATATATATATTAGAATAATATACTATGTATAAGAACTTGAGACTTCCTTTACCCCAAATAGAGGTGTTATTAATGTTTTTTTTTGTTGTTACCCACTGTTATATCTTTAGTATCTGTCCAAAGCTATTAATTGCGGGATGATATTTAAGTGTTCCATGTGTACATAACATATTGTGATGGGTACACAATAGTCCAAACCTTTGTGTTTTTTATGGGTCACTTGTAGATATGGGGTTCGTGCTAGATCAAAGGAGCTACACTGCAGCTCAAATGGCTCGATTCAACCGAGGAAGGATCACGCTGGCATATAATACCAGTGTGAAATAACTGCTGTATGATAACTGATGGGAAAGGTCTCCGCATTTTTTACTGGTGACAAGGCATTCCCTCCAAGTCCTTCCAAAAATAAATCTCATAAAGAATTTTTAAGTTGGCTTTAATAACCTGTTTCTGTTTCATTATTTATATTTATTAAGTTATTTAATTACTTATATATTAAAAATTAAGGGTTTTATAGGATAAGGGTGACAAATGAGCACACAGTCCACCTGATGGTAAGTGGTTGCTGCGGCCCATAGACATCTACATCTATCCTCTATTACAAATCAAAATGTAGATGCGTTATCACCCGTGAGGACTAAGATGGAATGCCTCATTTCCAGTAAAAAGGGCCTCCGGCCACCTGCACTCACCAAGCGAAACGCAAAGGTAAACCTCTACTTCACGCTGGTTTTCTGTGAGACCGTGGTACCACCCCGGTTCGAGCCGGCCCATCCGTGCGGCAGCAAAAGCTGCCGCGTGGCTCTACCACTATTAAAAATTAATTTTTTTATAGGGTATGCCTGCCACATTAAAAATAAAATTTGGGCTAAGAGAAATGATATAAAGAATCTCTGGGTTGACTTAATGAACCTGTACGTGGTAGAGCCATGCTGCAGCTATATTAGTAGTATAGTTGTAGCACGAATGGGTCGGCTCAACCGGGGAAGGACCACGCTCTCACAGAATACCAGCGTAAAATAGCAGCTCAACACTGCTGTGTTTCGTATGGTGAGTGTAGAGAACCAGAGACCCTTTTTACTGGAAAAGAGGCATTCCATCTTAGTCCTCATGGGTGACAAGGCATCTGAATTTTGATTTGTAATAGAGGATAGATGTAGATGTCTATGAGCCACAGTAAGTTGGACTGTGTGCTCGTCTGTCACCCTTATTCTATAAAAAAAAACCAGGGCCATGATTTCGTTGTTGATTTTAGTCTTAATTGATGTACAATAATGCTGTGATGCACATTTTATCAGTTTTTTTACGCGGGAATAACAATTTTCAAAAATATCAAAAGGGAGTTTTCAAGAAATTACTGGCTCTCGGGTAGCAGCCCTGTACCAATAAGTGAAATATAGGGCGGCCCCTCACTAGATACGAGTGATGATCTGGTGAGAGATGCAGGAAGTCGATCGATACAGGTGGCAGTGGACTTGTGGTGGGCTGTACTGCGTCTATTTTATCCATCCTTCTCTCCCCTAGAAAACAACATTCGCCATTTGAATGCAAACCGTGTGCGAAACGGTTCGCACGTTACAATGGGCTCTGGCTCCACAATAAAATACAACACGGTGGACCGACTACGCCCGCTTATTGTGTAGAGTGCGACAGGCGGTACCCGGACTACTATAGGTACAGATGGCATTTGGCTAACAGTGCGCGTCACAAGCCGCGACAGAAGGTGAGGTAAGTTATATTATCATTATTTTTGTTGTCTTGTTTTTTTCCTTGCGTCATGGCTTTTATTGTACTCATTGTTCATTCCGTTACATCACATAACACTCACGTCTGTCACCCAGAAGGGTAGGCAGACAACGTGCTTCTATTTAGCACGATCCTGGCACACATTTCTCGCCTCCTTTACATCCATTTATGTACCTACGCATACATGTTCGTCGGTTAAGCGTACTCTTAATCTGGCCCATCTTCATGATTGTAAGCTGTTGTTTAAAAAAAAAGTCCCTCTGGGTTTCTTGCTGGTTCTTCTCAGGACAGAGGTTTTTTTGAACCTGTGGTAACTATAAAAATAATATTTTGAAGATTAAAATTTCTTTATGTCTGAATGCAAAACAAATTTCAGCACCTTCGTATGATTATTTCACCAATAGTGAGCTCTACGTACTACGTACGATTTGCGATTTTCAACGCATAAGCGCACAGGACGAATGCTGACAGTATACTAACTAAAGCCACGCCCACTATGATGACGTCAGGACCTAGTTAGAATCACAGTGCACAGTTACTTATGCCGTCTCCTCTTTGTATTTGCTTCATGGTTGCGTTACATTCCACGCGTGTGTAGTATGTACTTTAGAAGTATATATATTCTTTTTTATAGAATTAGGGTGACTAACGAGCACACAGTCCACCTAATGCTGTTAATAAGAAAAATATTTATACTCGATTAAGAATCAAAATGCAGATGCGCCGCTACCCCCGAGGACTAAGATTAAATGCATCGTTTCCAGTGAGAAGGGTCTCTGGTTCTCTACTCACTATACGAAACACAGCAGCATTAATCTGCTATGTTACCCTAGTATTCTGTGAGAGCGTGGTCCTACCCCGGTCGAGCCGACCCATCGTGCTACAACCTTAATATAGCTGCAGCGTTCCTCCTCCACGTTGAAAGTAATTCATTGTGTATGTATTTATTAGAGATATCTAAGTGTGCCGTGGTAGCTCAGATGATTAGCGATCGCTATAAGTTTCACAGTACGCGAGCAACCCGGGTTCGATCCCCGCCGGCACCAATGAAATTGTTAATTGCAATTTTAAGTGCTGATTTACCACGTGCTCGGCGGTAAAGGAAAACATCGTGAGGAAACCTGCATGTCTAAGAAATAAAAAAAATATATCTCGAAGACATGTGGATATTTCCTTGCCCTAAAACCCTCTCAGAAATGAGAGGAGGCTTGTGCCCAGCAGTGGTACGTATATAGGCTGCAACTTTTACCTAAGTGTGCGCCACCCTGGCTACCGCGTATATACTATAGTGCCTTCTCAGAAGGAAGAATGCCTGGACAATGGTGTCAGTGGTTTCAGCGAAGGAAGACTCCAACGAAGTGACAATTAGGATATTGTGCTCAATGCCATTGAGGAAGATCCTGCTATTTAAACTAGGATAAAATCAAGACGGGCAAGTCGACAGTACATATAATATTTAAAAAGAAAACAACAAATTTCACCCTTATAGTAAGCCACCTTACCCGTGTGCAAACGTTGGAGCCAAGGGACTATGCTGCAAGATTAAATTTTTGTCACCAAATGTAGCAATAACAGTAATTTCATAACAAAAAAATTGAGTTTATTGCCGTTTTGGAATCTACATGAAGCAGGCATGTTTTTTAAGCTATTGGCCATCCTGGTCACCATACGTTCTTTTATACCACAGGTGCTGAAACTTCGTCATTGTAAAATCGAAAATTCTAATCTTTATTTTTAAGTATTCAAAAAATTGTGCGTGTCGTCAGCTCCGTTGCGTGACTGGAGTTTACTCCTGAAAAGCGATTGTCTTAAAATATACACAATAGGCAGAGGAAGTAAATGAACCCATATGTATTTATTCATAGTGATTTGATAAAAAAATATATTACATAAATTATATTACATAAAATATGACTACTAAAATGTATTAATAAATATTACATATTATACTAATTAAAATATATATCAAATTATTGACTTCACGCTATGAATGCAATATTGCGCAAGACTATAACGACTTCACTTTTTGTTAACGCTTTATTTAATACCTATCTATTTTTCATATCGTGCACTATACAATCTGTCCGGTTTCCGATGTCCGATACTTTAAGGGGTTAAAATACAATTAATTTTATCGACAAATCAGGGATCAATGATTTTTTTTCGCCATCAATAAAAAAATGGCAGCACTTTAAAAAAAATTGTTGGCGAAGCATAGATGCTTGTATTAATTTAACAATATCTACCCAAGTAGAAGACTTTCAAAAACAAAATTGGTCTCAAATGTTAGTTAATAGTGTAAACAATAAATCTAGATTCAAAATATTATTTTTTAATTTTTCAGTATTAGTAAAAAACATTTTTGAAAAAATAAATTAGACAACAAATTGATGTTGTTTTTCAGATTCTTAGCTTTAAAAAAAAAACCATCGTGTTAACCAATTTTTTTTACTTGTTTTTATTATAATACAGGATATTTGCTATAAATGCACATTTAAATCTTAACTCTGAGTTAGATAGTTTAGGAGCTATGACAGTGTAAACATACTTACTTGAAAAGCGCGGATACACTAGCAAATGAAATAAAACAAAATAATTTATATCAATTGCATTTAATTTGGCAAAATAATTACAAAAACTGCTCAAAGTGACCTCCTTGTCTCTGCAGACATGCTGTTGCTCTTAGTGCAACGTGTTGCGTAGAGCGCTGGATCATTGCCTTGTCTTCTCGCAATTCGTTTGCTGCTTGAATTATTTTTTCTGCTAACTCCTCTCGTGTATTTGGCACATTTACATACACTCTTCGTTTGAGTGTGCCCCACAAAAAAAAATCGAGAGGTGTTAAATCCGGCGACCGCGGTGGCCAAGCAATTGTTCCTCCGCGTCCGATCCACGACGAATAGTGTGCATTTAAATGATTCCGCACAAGAAGCGCGAAGTGAAGATATATTATAGCATTTTTATTATTTGCGGAGCGGTCAATATGCCTCCACAAGTACCTGCGAGGTTATCCATTACATACCGGACAGCATGTATATACAGTCGAAACCGGATATACTCGAAGATATAACTAAAGATGGTATATCCGAAACTTGTTATAAGCAATAATAATAATAAAAACTAATTATTATTAGTTTTTAAAATTATCGGTCATTTGATCAGTTTTTTAACTGAGTCTCAAAAGTGCATTTTACGTTTCATTTCCCTAAAGAAATCTTGATTAACATCGAAATTAAACTCTTCGTAAGGCCCGCCACATACATACGGAATTCGTTTCGGGATTCCGTTTCGGAATTGCGAACGGGTCGGCTACACACATACGGAATCCCGTTTTGGCCGCAAAATTTCGAACGGAAAACTACCGTACGTGTGTCACGGCTCATATATTTTATATGAAATTGCTACGTTCGGAATCTCGAATCGGAATATCGAAACGGAATCCCGAAACGGAATTCAGTATGTATATGGGCGGCCTTAAAAGCGAAAACTTTTTGTAGAGTTCTTTCGGAATTTTAACTCGTTCATTTAAGGTGATCCAAAGGAGATAATGAGATCAAATTGAATTATGTAGGTAGTATTAAAAAAATTATAATTCAGTATAACATGAAAGAAGCCTATTTTACAATGAATTTTATTATCATCATCATTAATTATCATAATAATCAATTTTCATTTTGATCTGGTTCTGGCAAGCGCTCTGGTCCAATAAGTTCAGTTGAGGCTTGAGGCTAAGCTATTGTACCACGAATATAGCTCTTCTGGTATGTGGACGGCATTGAAAAGTTTGACTATAATGATTTCTTAAATTTACGCGAACACGTATATTAACTTATTTTATATTCCCGACGTTTCAAGCACTTTACAGCACCCATGGTCACGGGGGGGACTGAGTTTTATGACGTCTCAATGTCATAGTTAACCACGGCTACCTCCAGACTAAAAATTGGACGTAGTTAAGCAGAAAGGACTCAATCCACACAAATTCACTTTTGAGTTAGAGGCGTTTAAAGTTTCAGTTGTAATTTTTCGTCTAAGAAAAAGTTATATTTTTAATTTTTTGCCCCTTAATCAAGAAGATAGTCAATATTTTTATCTGTCTGTTAAAATAATGACATATTTTGCAATAGATTTCGAAATATTAAGTGAAATGTGGGTTGAGTCCTTACAATTAAACTTAAGTTTGTAAAGACAGGTAGTTTTTTTTACTTTCTCAGAATGGACTCAAAACTACTCTTCGACTAGAAAATAAGTTATTAAAGAAAACAAAATGAATAAAATTATATATTAATTATCCTTGAATATAAGACTAGCAAAATCACGTAAAACACCATTATAATAATAAAAAAAATAGGGAAAAACAGCGCAAAATGAATCAAAAGAAATTTTATCATTTTTTATAGGAAAGGGTGACAAACGAGCACACAGTCCACCTGATGGTAAGTGCTTGCTGTGGCCCATAGGCATCTACATCTATCCTCGTTTGCGAATCAAAATGCAGATGCGTTAAGGACTAAGATGGAATGCCTCTTTTCCAGTAAAACGGGCCTCATTTTTGTCAAATTTTTGTCTCAATTTCTCTCATTCTCCTCTAATTCAAAATAAAGAGTTGGCCCATATCCATCAACATCGTCTCTGATATTGCTGTTTCCTTTAAGGTTACTGTAAAATGTATGACAGTCTTCAGGTATTAAACTAAACATAGATCTGAGATCATCAAGCTTTGCTCTACGTATGGGTTTTCCTTGGGACCAAAGGACATCAAAATCTTCTTCTGAAAATTGTATTAAATTACCTTTGCTTCTTTTCGACAAATCTAGCTTTTGAATATCTCCACTCTCTGATGTCATAGTAATTAAGTATTGATCTTCTTTTTTTAATAAAATTTGATTCGTTTTCAGCCAATTTACTTTATCTTTATTTGTACATTTTTTTTCTATCTATTTTGTACTTAAAAAATCTTGTGTTTTCATTCTAGTAACGTG